GGGTGAAGCCTGAACACCATCAACAGGGACATAGCCGGACAGGCGGTCAGCAGAACCCCGTGGGCGGCAGCCGCTTCGCTATGAGAGCGTCTGTTGTTCGGGGCTTTAGGGAGCTGAGTGTTGGGGCTGAAGGGATTACTGATCACGGTCGAAGTGAGATACTGGCACATCACCCCCCAAACTATGATGGCACAAACTGTCCTATTTCCATCTTCCCGCCGCCAGGGATTCTACGGTAAAGTTAAGGTGTAGGATTCGAAGGAGCTTGGTTCGAGGGAACAGGATTTAGTTCAGGGTCTATGAGGGGACGGGGTGCTGGCAGAGGGAGGCTTCTGCGCCGAGCCGAACTTGCAGGGATCTTTGAGGGTTGGGGGCCTAAATCATAGTGATTTTTTCCACAAGTGGATCCTGTAAAGGGTTCCATAAGGGATTCACGCATTCACACAGGTTACTATAATTCAGGGTCTCTTTAATACAAGGGACTTGTAAGCGGCCAACCCAGAAACTCCCAGCTGGCAGCCCTGAAGCCTTTATGACCTCTTGATAGGAAAAGACCCGCCCAAAAAGAATGAACTCCGCTCTAGGGTCATGGGCCCGAAGGAGCTGAAAGCCCGACAAACTCGATCTCAAAGAGGGTTTAGGGTTTAGGGTTTAGGGTTTAGGGAATTAAGCCAGCACCTCAAGACCGCCCTTTAGAACTCTGAACCCCGCAATCCTGCTCGCGAAAGCCCGTCCACACGACCTTCTGCTAAGCCGACGCAGGAGCCAAAACATCCCCATCTCAGGAGGCTAATTTAGCTTCCATAGTTTGTTTAGGACCGCTACTATGACCACCGTCCTCGTGCCTCCGAGTCAGATCAAGAGCTCATGGGCCCGAAGGAAGTCTTAGACCTGCAACCCCAAGCCCAAAACTCAGGGCTCAACTGCATAAATATCAAGACCCCACCTAGAGAATTCGTGGCTTCTGCTCTGTTCGGCATGCCCTAGTCAGCTGGAAACAGCTCGGGCTGTCCAGCCGAGATCTGTTCGCAGATCCTTATGCAGCCACGGCCGCGGATTTTCTCTATGACCGTGACCGCACAAAGATCTCACCAATCCTCTTCTTGATCGGTTGTGTACATAGACCACATAAAGATCTCACGTCTTGTCGTCGGGCGAGACGTGGACCCCAAAGCAAGATCCCGCCGCCCAGGAGATCTTTGTGTAAAGACGCGAGCTTTGAGCTCTGCACCATAAATCCCAAGCCCTTAACACTAAGTCTTGTTAGGCTTCCTCAGATCTTAGCCAAGGCATGCTCCACGTGATGCACCACGGACCGCATGGGCCGCACCTCGCTTGCAAAATGCTTTCCTTGGAGCTTTGTGATTGTTTAGGATTTCGGGTTCAAGCCCAGCTGCAGCAAAACAAAGCTTAAAGTATATGTGTGTGTATATATGTATATATATATATATAATATAATAAAGAATATATATATATATATATATAATATATATATATATATATATATATGGATGGGTTCAGGGTAGTGGGGTTCGGGGATCAGGTTTCGAGACTTTGGCTCCGGACTTTCAGGGCTTCGGCTCTCAGGTTCTAGCGGTTATGGACATGGAGGGTTTAGGGTTTAGGGTTTAGGGTTTAGGGTTTAGGGGTTATGGACATGGAGGGTTTAGGGTTTAGGACAGTTTCAGGTGGGTAGGTACCGTTATAGGAGGCTTATAGAAGGTCTGTATACCTTATAGAAGCCGTATATACCCTACCTTAAGAACCCAAAACCTACTTTTTTGTAGGGTCCCTATAAATCCCATATTAGGGTTTATAATAAGAACCTACAAAAAAGTGGATTTTGGGTTCTTAAGGTACACTCCCCACCTGTAGTTTCCTTTAAGTAGGTTTGAGCTCCGGGACTGTCGGGTTGCTGCCCGTTTCTCCAACCCTGCACCCCTGGCACCCCTAAACCCGAAGGTTGAAGCCAGATTACCTGGCCGGGCTGTAAGAGACAAAGCCCTGTACACCGAAATCTCTTCGGAGTGTAGCATTGGGGACTGCGTCGTTGGTTTTTTGCGTTTAGGGCTGAGGCCGATTTCGGCTTATACTGTTCGGGATTGCCCAGAGATTCCAAAACAGCGTGCAAGGTTCAGGGTCTGTGATTTAGCGTGTTTAGCATGCAGATGGTAACCTGAACCCCACAAAAGCTTACCTTTTTCAGGTTCAGTTCATCTCCTTACATAATCGTTGATGTGGATAGTTGGGGCGAAGCTAAGAGTTTATTTAGGACCTTGCAGAAACCCTGGATTTTCCATTCTATGGGGCTTGCAAGCTTGGGAGCTGTCAGGAAAATGCCCTACTTAAACAGGCTAGTTGGCGTTCTTGGGTTTGGGTTTATCAGGGTTTAGGGTTTATCAGGGTTCAAAAGAGTTTATCATTATCAGGGAAAGGGTTTCGGATAACTTTGGGCTTGTGGGTTTTTTGCTTGGCCATGCTTCTGTGTATCGGGATGTCCCTACACCCCCAAACCTAAATTCCTTGCAAGGGTTTAGTTCCCGCCAGGATTTCGCAGAAGGGAGGGTCCCGCCGGTTGAGGGCTCTTTGGCATGGCTCACTCTTGTGGGGGTTGTTTAGGGCTAAACATTTGAAACAGGCCTTCAATCTGAAATCCTGAACATTCACATGTTGGAAAAGAAACTCTCAAATTCTTGCTTCTGCTGCTCAGAGGAGCATGAGGGAATGATTTTCGTGGTCTCCATTTCATGTTTCTAGGGTTATATGTATATGTCTGTATACATGTATATGTGTATGTATATATATATATAGAGAGAGAGAGAGAGACACTCTGTTCATCCTTGTTCTGCAGGGAACCCAACGAAACAAAGCGAACCAGAACTGTTTCCGAGTCTGCACGGTGTTTCGATTTCAACCTCAACCGGAAACTAGGTGGAGGGAAGCCTGAGGGTTCTAGTTCCTTCACAGGGTTTGGCATGTCGATTGCCGTGGAAGTTGGACTGCTCAGTGGCAAAATAGCTACTGTGCAAGCAGGCCTGGATGAAACAGTACACACGTTCTGCCAACGGGCGCAGATCGCACTTGGAGTCGGGAAAGGGCGGCTGCTGGACTCATCTGGCTGTGCTCTGGATGGACGCGTACCGATTAAAACAACCAGTGTTGCGAATGGGGATTCGCTGACATTGCACGTAAGCAAAGTTCAAGTTCAAGCCACTCGTTGCGCCTTTGCTGGCATCCTTGGCGATGGATCCGTTGTGACCTGGGGTAATCCTATCTTTGGGGGCGACAGCAGCGCTGTGCAGGGTCGGTTGAGAAACGTGCAGCAGATCCAATCTTCTTTCGCTGCTTTTGCTGCCATCCTTGGCGATGGATCGGTCGTGACCTGGGGTAATGCTTGCTGGGGTGGCGACAGCAGTGCTGTGCAGGGTCAGCTGAAGAATGTGCAGCAGGTCCAAGCCTCTAGCCGTGCTTTTGCTGCCATCCTTGGCGATGGATCGGTGGTGACCTGGGGTGTTGCTGCCTGTGGTGGCGACAGCAGCGCTGTACAGGGTGAGCTGAAGAATGTGCACCAGGTCCAAGCCTCTGACGGTGCTTTTGCTGCCATCCTTGGCGATGGATCCGTTGTGACCTGCGGACAGCCTGACTGTGGTGGCGACAGTAGGGCTGTGCAGGGACACCTAAAGAATGTGCAGCACGTCCAAGCTTCTAGCCGTGCTTTTGCTGCCATCCTTGGCGATGGATCCGTTGTGACCTGGGGTGATGCTAGCGTTGGTGGCGACAGCAGTGCTGTGCGAGGCCAGCTGACGAATGTGCAGCAGGTGCAAGCCTCTGCTAGTGCTTTCACTGCCATCCTTTGCGATGGATCGGTTATTAACTGGGGCGCTGAGCGGGCTCAGCTGAAGGATGCTGAGATCTGGGGTGGTGCTGCGCAGATCCAAGCGTCTGAGTGCACTGTTGGTGCGATGTTCGGCGATGGATCCGTTGTGACCTGGGGTAATCCTAGCTTTGGAGGCGACAGCAGCGCTGTACAGGGTGAGCTGAAGAATGTGCAGCAGGTCCAAGCCGCTGACGGTGCTTTTGCTGCCATCCTTGGCGATGGATCGGTCGTGACCTGGGGTAATCCTAGCTTTGGAGGCGACAGCAGTGCTGTGCAGGGTCAGCTGAAGAATGTGAATGTGCAGCAGGTCCAAGCCTCTGCAGAGGCTTTTGCTGCCATCCTTGACAATGGCTCGATTGTGACCTGGGGTCGTGATGACACGGGCGGAGACAGCAGTGCCGTGCAGGATCAGCTGAAGACAGTTGACTAGATCCGTCGTTGCTTGAAACTCGCCGAGCTAGATCTGAACGTGATGCTTTGGATAGTGCAGCCGCAGCAAAGATTCACAGAAGCCTGCCAAGATGCAGCATCAAAGCGCTGACCAGTGGCGGGCAACATGTGCAGACTCATGGCCAGCCTGTGGCCCGAATCCGGAAGCCCTCGCCCTAAACCCTGAACCTGAGTCCCGAGTGTCTTGCTGTGCACCTGCTACTGTTCTGAACTAACCCTGCACTGCGGGCTCGTCCTTGCTAAGTGGGCGAAAAAAACCCTCAACCTTTCACCGTAAAACCCTGGACTAAACCCTCACTCCTACAGACCTCTTTCAAGCAGGACTCGGCAGATTTCAATACGGCATTGCTGACTCTGAATCGGTTTGCCCCGGTTGTACTTCCCTGCAGAAGTTGCATCCCGGACTTGCCTCTAAGAGGATTCTGTTTCCCGCGTGCTGTACATGCCCAAAGCAACCCTGGGGCTCCAAATAGCCCAAAGTAGGTACTATTTGCAGACTTTAATTAGACCCCAAAGTAGGCATTATATCTGTATACTTGGAGCCCAAGGGGAAGTCTTCAGCCAAAAGCCTCTACACCTCCAACCTGAAACGGTAAGGCCCGCAACCATAAACTTGCCCCAAACACCTAACTCTTCACCTCCAGGCCCACACTTACTCTCCGCCCCTGGCCAGGCAGTATGGGCCACACCGTCACTTCCACCATCACGACCACCACAATGGCCACCACAACGGCCACCACACTGCGCATCTTCATGCAAACCACCATTTCCAAGGACTGCCCCAGGGTCGGGGCTTCCTCTGGGGATCTTGAGTATCGCCCCTGGAAGATTGTGAGGTTGGAGGGCTTCAGGGTGTAGAGTGCAATATGTATGTATGTAGGTAGGAAGGAAGGTAGGTAGGTAGGNNTATGTACGTATTCATGTATGTATGTAAGTTGGGCCTTGTAACTGTTGCGAGGGGGATCAAGAATGCTCCACCCCCCCTTACCCTGCCCTCTGCTGCCTATAGTACTGCCCGTCACCGCCCTCTACTGCCCTTTCCTGCCCTATATTGCTCTTTGGTGCTTTTTGCAGCCATTTACTGCCCTGTACTTCCCTGCTGTCCACTCGCTACTTGCCCTACCCTGCACCTGCCTTGCAGTGCCCTGCCCTACCCTACCCTGCACTACCCTGCCCTGCCTTGTCCTGCCCTGCTTTTTGTCGTCCGCTACCTCTCCTCTACTGCCCGTAACTGCCCGTACCGTCCTTTACTACCCCTTACTGCCCTTTACTACTCTGCCCTTTTCAGGGAGGGAGGGAGGGAGGGAGGGGCCATGGAGTCCAGGTTAACTTTTTGCTGGAGCCTCGCATCTTAAACACTTCTCGTAGGATCCTTATGTTAAATTTTGGAAAGGTTTTTTCTTCAGGAAGCCCTTGATTCTGGGCTGCAGGATTGAAATTTGGGTGACGGGGCTTCTGGAGAAGTTTGGGAGTGACAAGTTTGGCAGCACAGACCCTCGAAGAGAGGGCCCCTTCCAGAAATTGATGAGGCCGTCAATTAAAGGATGCTGGCATGACAGGCAAACGCAAGCCTTGACCCTAAACCACATTTTTCAGTTCCAGGCCCTCAAGGGCTAAAGACTTCGACGAAGCTCGCTTGCTTCTACCAGGCAGTCTAGAAACCCCGAAGCCCCCCTCCACCGTCCACTTAAACCCGAAAAAGCTTCAAAGATGCCGGAGACGCTTCTTTCCAGGCCCTCCCCATGGCCTCGGCCATCAGCCGGTGGAGTTGCCGCCAGTTCCCGAGGGCAGCCGCCACTTGCTGGCCCACTGGGATGTCGGGGTTAAGGCCTTTACAAGGGGCTCATGGGTTTGTGCAAGATGTCGTCGGGCCTCCTCCGTGAAGGCTGTAGGAGATCCTTTATAACAAGCAGCTAATTATCGGATTGGTTGCCGAGCAAATTCGATCTGGCAGGATAATCTTCTTGGGCGCCATAGTATCTATTCCCAAAGGTTCACCGTTATTTCCCCTACGATGCTGGACTAAGGGCATGCAGTAGACCCTTCGGCATACATCCGCAAATCAGCTCCTTTCTAGAGCAAACTCAAAAAGTCGGACTCCCTGAAACCTTTAAGCCCTCACCCTCCACCCTTGTATCCTAAACCTCAAACCCCCAAACCTTACAGCCTGAAGCTCCAACCCCACACTCCTGAAATTCCCCAAACTCCTACAGTTTCAAGCCATAGATGCTTGAAGCGGATATCACCTGTTTTGAGCCCCATGAGGTATCGATATCCATGCAGAAGGCTTCCCGGGACCCTACACGAGAAGTCTCTTGCGATCTCTTGCGGGCCATCGGTAATTTATCTGTCCAGCGACGATAAATGCAAAGACCAGCCTGCGGGAGTTTGTCCAAGATGTTCACATTTTCTGTGCCAAGCACGTTGTGTTTTCGGAACAGGCTACAGGGCCACACCTCCCGAAGGGCATCGCCGCAGTTCACATCCTTCGCTCTCGAGTCGTACACTCGAGTCGCACACTAGCCAGAGAAGTGGGCACTGAAAGCCCCGGAGCTGCGCTCGTAACTTTAGACAAAGCCTGAAGCCTGAAGCAGTACCCCAAATGTACCCTCACGTTACGTACACTATAAGAGCCTTGCGCCTGTTTGTTGAGCCTTCCGAGATGGGTAAGGCTCTACCTTCGACCTCAACGAGACAAGCGCCGTGAAGCTCCGGCTGCTGGAGCAGTGCCTAACCGTAACCGGAGCCAGGTTTCCAGAGCCACGGTTTTGGGTTTAGGGTTTAGGGTTTAGGGCCTCAGCTTGGGTTTAGTATGGTTTAGGGTTTGCGTCGGGTTTGGGGCTTGGGGATGGTGAGTTCAGTCAAGAGTGCAATGGGTGTTGCAGAAGTACACGGCTTAAGTGTGTCCTGGCTCAAGGCTTATAATATAAGCCCCGGCCCTGGTTCAGGAACCCTCTGCGCGTATGGTGTACCACCTGGCTCCTTGTTCTGCTGCTACTCGATAGTGTAGTGCACGGCATATACTTCAAGGAGGCCAACAACATTCTGAGGCCTCAGCCACGTGCTTCAGCTCCTGTTTTTGGACCAAAACGGGAGAGGTCAAACTCAACAGCTGAGCCCCGTGCCACATAAAGACATATGTCCCGCAACACTCAAGCCCTCCGCACCTCGAAGTGACAGGTACTTTTCTTGTCCCTCTCTTGCGGCCGGTACGACCACCACATATCACAACGGCGACGGCGACTGGAACGACAATGCCGACAACGAAGACCAACTGCGCAACTGTTGTCCTCACCAGCGCCAGCAGCAGCAGCAGCACCACCAGCAATAACAACAAGAGGCACAGCAACAACAGCAACATCGGTCAGCCACAACCGCCAACAAGAGAACGAGACCAGCACAGTGCTTGTCTGCTTACTCCAAGGCGTATCGAGTCTGAGACTTCCACCCGAGAGCGCCGCAAGAACAACCTGAAGCTTAGCTGCCTCAGATGTTTTAGGTTTTAGTTGCAGGCAGACGAACAGGTTGGATTGGGATGGGTTGAAGCTGATATACAGCAGCACTATGCTTATTAATGCTTTGCTTCATTATCCTATGTAAATATTGATATATTTTAGTAGTATTAGCTCAGATTCAGGAGAGGCACAGACATGAGAGGTTCCGTGGGTTTGTTGTTCAGTTCGTCGGTCACAGAATTTAGCCGGGCGGTGTCTTTGCTACGAGGCTTCGGGCTTCGGGATCACTGAGCCTTGGAATTGATCGGAGGACGAGCTAAAGGCCCAAACGCTCAAAAAGACCTGAAAGCCCAAGCAACTGAAGCTCCATGGGTGACGACGGTGACGCCCAACCCAAGTTCGGCCTCCGAACCAAAAGGCCCAAACCCCCAAAGGAATTGGACGTGACAAAACAAAAACACACGCGCAACGCAGATATCGTCAAA